CAAAAATCCCTGCTCTCTGTGGAGTTTACCTTCTGAAGCAGGAGGCAGACAGTAAATATGGACTAGTTGTATATGAGTCCATGATAAATGGGGGAAATTAAAGCAAGGGGGGAGGCAGGGAGTTTTGCTGCAGAATACTATTTTAAATAACATTGACTCCTCACAACCATATGAGGGAGGTACTGTGAATCATACCCATTCTTTTGGTGGGAAAACTGAGGCATTGGGAGGTTAAGTGACTTGTCCAGGGTTGAATAAGAGCCAGTGGCACCAGGATTCTAACCCAGGCTTTGCTCCTAACCACCAGAAAATTGTAGTAGGCAAGTGGGCAGAGTCATGAGTGGCAGGGAGGGCGTGGAGACCTTTAAACAGTTGCGGGTGTGAGGGTCTTGAGATAGATAAATTAGCTGGATGAGGATGAGGGACCCTATTTAAAAAAAAAAAAAGGAGTGCCTTAGGTGTGCTTAGGAGTCAGTGGGAAGAACCCTGGGCAGAGGGAGAGGCTGAGTTTACAACAGAGCCATGAGTGGTGTGGGCTCCTGAGAGGACAGGAGCAGGGGGGTTCTGGGGTGCATTGGGAGGAGCAGGGATGATGCCTCAAATACAGCAGCAGGGGATGGGGAGACCAGGTCCTCGCTGAGAGTGAGAGTGGAGGGGTTGCGGGAAGGTTGAAGACAGTGAGATCGAAACAGTCACTGGGGGAGTGGGTTCCCCAGAGAAGCTTGTAGGACAGTGTCCGGAGCCTCTGGAAGCTGGTGAGTACTGATCTACCATAGAACCAGTTTACCCTGGGGATTGCCTTTCTCCTTCAGTGCTTGGCTGCTTTGCAAGCACTGAAAAAACTAGTAATTGGGTTTATCCAGGTGTGGGCTTTTCCTAACAGGTGTAATGAAAAGGCAATTGAGTAAGAGACTTTGCATCTCAGAAAAAGCTGATGTTGAAATGAGGGATTATGCGATCCCAGGCAGCCAAGTTGGGATGTGACGACGTGGGGAGCAGGAGGGAGTAGCAGGGTATGAAGCTGGACTAGGGTGGTCCAAGGGGAGCTGTCAAATTGGTGACTTTGGAGGAGAGGCAATTATAGGTGATGACATGGTCCAAGCGGTGGCCCTGCTTGGACAGAATCTGGGTGACTTGTTCTCATGGGACAGCCAGGGACTCCTCTGGCTTGGCTGGGGTCCTGTGTGGCTGGGGAGTCGGCAGACCCAGAGGCTGTTAGTGATCACCCCAAGCTCTCTGGACTGCATTGATGACAGTGTGACTAGACCAGATTTGCATTTTAGAAAGAGCGTTCGACAGCGGTTGTAGCCTGCCTCCCTTTGCCAGGAGACAAGGGAGGAGTCTTTATCAGTTGCCCACAGGAGCTTCCACACTGGCCCACTTAGGAAGGAGACTCAGGAAGCTAGCTTGACCTGTCTTGCAGGCTGACTGGGTAAAAATATCCCCAAAGTTGTTTTTTTCTCTCAGTGCATGTCCACTTGAAATTTTTATAAAAACTTTGCTGTTGTTTCCATACAATTCCCCTTATTAAAGTAAAAAAGACACCAAGGCCAGTTATGACTTACAAATCACTGCAGTCCTCAGATTGTTGTTTCTAAGCTGGTGCAACCAGATGGGGAAGATATTCCTCTTATTATTTTTGTTCTTATCTTTATTAATTAACTGCATATCATAGCTGCACAAGCAGAAGTTCTGGGATATTTGACCTGGTTTTCTAATAAGAAATAATAGCTTTAGAACTGAGATTATTTGTAAGACACAGAATCTCAATAAAATATATACATATTATGAATATATATGAAATATGTTTATAAATATATTTAAACTTATCTCTGCACTCACCATTGGAGGGAGAGACACCTCATCTCAGGCCTGGGTTTTAGTGCTGACTACACTGGTCTGTGACTGTCCAATTTCCCATCCATCTCCTTTACTAGAGTCTGAGTTCCCAAAGGGTAGGGACTGTAACTCCTTCACCCTGCGTCCCAGTGCCAGCACAAGGCCTGACACAGACTCAATGTTGTGTGAATAAATAAATGATGGACCTGGATGGATGAGGGCGTGTCAGATGTCGGAAGGATGGATACATGGGTGGATGGCGAGCAGATGAATGTTAGATGTGTGAGGCTGGAGGGAGGCTGGAGTAATGGCTGAGAGTCACAAAAACAGCCAGAGTTCCACATTCAGTGCAAAGAGAGGTCGCTTTGGGCCAGTCAGGGGGGACTTCCTAGAAAACTTGTGCTGTGCTGTGAAGACCAGGAAAGGCGTGGATGTAGGAAAAGGGAAATGAAGATGGGACTTCAACTGTTATTGCAGCCCCTTGGGGCCAGGGGCTGACCACTGACCAGGAATAAGGATTGAGCCAGATCCTAGCCAGCCTTCAATGCCAAACTAAGAAGCTTTAACCAATAAGTTTTATACAAATTAGCCACCAACTGTTAAGTCTAATTGTTAGTTTATGTGATGGCTCTATATCCTCAAAACTTCTCAAGGGAGGGATTATCATCCCTATTAATAGTTAAGAAATAGGCTCAGATAGGGAAAGCAACTTGCCATAAGTCACACAGCAGAGCTGCAGTTTGAACTTGAGTTGTAGTGACTCCAGAGCTGCTTTTTGGGGGCAGACACCCAGGAAGCTGCAGGCCTAACCCTGGCACCCACCCACCTGGCACCAGCCTGCCTCTTGTTGGCGACTCCTCTCCCATATTTCATATATATTCATAAACTATTCCCTGCTACTCACTCTATTGGTGAGGTCCCCGAGAACACAGAGGGGGTTTGAGCAAGGGCCAGGGTGGGTTTGGGGGCCATGTCATGTTTTAGGTAGACATATCCAGGCTGTGTCTCTCCAGCTTTACTATGAGCCTGGGCAACTCTGTCACAATGTTTCCTCTGTCCTCTGATGGCAGCCTCCTTGCCACAACCAGGTGCCAGCTGATTTGAGAGCACCAAGCTGGGCCCCAAGTCATCAGGGCTCCCTAAGGCCTGGCAGAGTCAGGGTGGAAAGGAGAAGGGCCCGCAGAAGTGACTTAGTCCAGCAGCCTCTATGGAAGAGGGGCCCCAGCCCCAGAGGGGAAGATGGCCTGCCTGCGGTCACCCAGGAGTCAGTATCAGATGTTCAACCAGAACCCATACTTCTGGGAGAGCCAGGACCAACTGAGAAAGGTGATTAGTTGGTAACAAGCTGGGACAGATGGCAGAGAATTGCAGAATGACTGCCTGGCTCTGCCACCAACCTGCAGTGTGACCTTGGGCAAGTCACTTCCCCTCTCTGAGCCACAAGGTCTCTTTCTTCAAAATGAGACCTTTCTGCCAGAGAGTACCCCATGAGAGATGAACTTGGAGAGCTCTTTACACTCTGCATGGCTCTGGGAGAGGAGTCACCAACAAGAGGCAGGCTGGCGCCAGGTGGGTGGGTGCCAGGGTTAGGCCTGCAGCTTCCTGGGTGTCTGCCCAAGCTTTGCCATCTGTGTGGCAGCACCAGCTCCACCTCCTCCTGCCTCCCTGCCAAGAAAAATGCTTCTGGGATCTTCTTACTTAATCAAAATCTTCCCTCTTCCTCCCTAGTCAGGTCCTCTTCTTTCCCCTAGTTTAGTTGGGACTCATGGTTGCAAGTGGCAGAAATCACAAGTACAAGGAAAGAGAGTTAGTTTTAGGCAGGTAGGTTCTCCGACCTAAACACTGTTATCTGGTCACTCCCTGTGCTTTTTCACTTCCACACTCTCTATCCCTCAGCTTCAGCTTCTTCCTCAAGCAGGCTGTCCCTGTGGGGTGGCAAAGTTGGCCACCAACAGCTTCAAGTTGACACCACGCCCATTCAGGTATCCTGGCAGATAGCATCTCTGTCCTCATTGCTCTAGCAAATACCCAGGGTGACCCTAAGGAGCTGGGCACAGGGTGAGTGCCCATCCCTGGACAGACCACTGTGTGTGGATTATGTGGTTAGGCCTGGGTCACAAGTGCACTGTGGAAATTAGAAGTGGACTCAGCCCCAACCAGGTCACATGGGCTGAGAGTCTTTCCAAAACAAAGAGATGGAGTCTGTCACCAGAAGAAGGGATATTGGGGACTCAATACCAATAGGTATCCTCAGCACCTTTGCCCCTAAACATTTCAGCTGAAAGGTTGAATGGGGACTGCTGGAAAGGGACTACTGTTGATTGAGTCCTGTATCAGTTAGCTTTTGCTGCATAACAAAACACCCTGAAATGCAGTGGTTTAAAACAACCATTTTATTTAGCTCATGAATATGTTAATCAGCTGAGAGATTCTTTCGGTTTGGCTACGGGCCTTTGGTTAGCTGGTGGGTTGGCGAGCACCTGTGTGATGTAGGATGGCCTCACTCATTAGCCTGGTGGTTGACTGGCTGTCAGCTGGGGTGCCTCTGTTCTCCGTGTGGCTTCTCATCCTCCAACAGGTTAGTGGGCTCTCTGACAAGGTGTTCTTTGTTACCAGTGTACCAAGTGGGCAAGCTCCAGGGTACAAACATTTTTTCAAGCGTTCACTTGCATTTTTTGCTTAAGTCCCCTTGAGCAAAGCAAGTCACATGACTAAGCACAGCATTGATGTGGGAGGGCACTGCCAAAAAGCATGAGGACAGGGAGAGGAAGGGTTTCTCTGGACCCTCCAGCCAGGGCTAGGGAAAGCTGTCTGGATCCTGACTGCAGCAGCCAAGAGCCCCACAGGGGCCAGTGCAGGTGCCAGTGGGGAGGGCCTCTTGGCAGGCAGGAAGGTGTTCTGAACCCTGGCTCCCATCTCCCTTTAGCCCACCCCAAAGTGGTGATTGGAATTCAGTGCCACCTCACTCCTATAGGTTTGTCCCTACTTCCCAACATCCCTTTGATACCACAGGACTGGGATGGCCCTGAGACTTGTGTGCAATCAGGCCACGGTGCCTCCTTACCATGGTAACTGGTGAGAGGTTACCTCAAGTTCAAAGAGGAGTCCTTGTCCTTCCTTTATAGGGGGTGACCATGACTTCAGCCTACCCTTTCCCACAGGTGGCTGCGCTGGAGCGGCAGATCTTTGACTTCCTGGGCTACCAATGGGCTCCTATCCTAGCCAACTTCCTGCACATCATGGCAGTCATCCTGGGCATCTTCGGCACCGTGCAGTACCGCTCCCGGTACCTCATTCTGGTACGGCTCAATCATCCCTCCCCAAGCCCACTCCTTCTCCTCTCCCCCTTCGCCGCCTGCTCCTCCAGCCAGAACTAGCCCCTTTCCTGGGCACCCAGACCTGTGCTCTGTCTTGGCTGTAGTCAACCAGTGGTGTGGATGCCCAGATCTCAATGCTTCTTTGCTTAGTGAGTGTTTACCCTGCACCAGGCATGCTGCTAAGAGTTTCGCATGGTTTGCTTATCTTTACAACAGCCCTGCACTGTGTATCTTACCATCTCCATTTTCCAGATAAGGAAATGAGGCCCAGAAAGGTTACAAGGCTTCCTAAGGTCACACAGCTAGTAAGTGGCAGAATTAGAGCATCAGATCCAATCCAGATTGGAGACTCCTTCCACATCTCCATATTGCCTCAGTAAGCCAGTGAAGGGATGGACTCTGACTTGTTTAGTTTCTTAAGTTGCTTCAGGAAGGCTTGGCCTTTTTCCTGTGAGGTTTGTCAAGAATGTGGTCTGGAGTGGCCAGCATGGCTCTGAGGTCAGTGCCTTCCGTGCTGCAGTCCCAGGAGTGGATTGTGTCCCTGGCTCCCTCCTGCTTCCTCTTCCCAAGCCTTGCTCCCTGAAAGTCTCTGTCAAACTTGTGTTTTTAGCTGGGCTCACACTTGTTCCTTGCTCTTCCTCGGTGATCCATTCCTCTTGAAGGAAAAGGCTTTTCAGTAGACTTACTACATAAATGCTTGACACCTACAGTAACAACGACACGCAGTATCGTGCCACCACTGGAGCCCACTCGCGCTCTTTCTAGGGTTTCTCCCCACCTCCCACAGGCTGGACTCCCAGAAGCCAGGTGAACAGGGCTCTGCCAAAGCAGTCTTTCACCTGAGATAAGAGAACCCTTCTCTCCAGTTCTCAGGCAAGGCCTCAGCCGCGCTATAAACAGCATTGTTTGCCAGGTGGCAACCTCTGGAATTGCAGAAATAAGTCTTGGGTGGAAATAGCCATCTCCTCTCCAGCTCTTTGCCATGGGTAGGGTGCTGTCTGGAGTCTGTTTCTCTCTGTAGAGTGGGTAGGATTAGCTACCAAAAGACTTGAGTTTGAGGGCCAGCCCTACTTCTTTCTAGCTGTGTGATCTTAGAAAACTTATACCTCCTCCCTAGGCCTTAATTTAGTTAAAGTGAAGACAATGCCTTTCCTGCAGGACTGGTGTCAAGGACTGGATGGTCGGAAAAATGATTTGTAAACTATGAAGTGCTCTCTGGGTGAGATATTCTTGTAGTTTCCCCTGCAAAGGTCTCCTCAGTTTGTGAGCTCCATTGACACACCCCGTCCCAACTCCCCCAGGCCCCACCCTGATCCCACCTTTGCTTTCCCCAGTATGCAGTCTGGCTGGTGCTCTGGGTTGGCTGGAATGCGTTTATCATCTGCTTCTACCTGGAAGTTGGACAGCTGTCCCAGGTAAGCCTCAGGCCTGGCAGTGCCAGAAGGCAGAGCCTGACCTGCTCCATGCCCTACCCCCAAAGGCTTCCAGTGTGGAATGGGTCTGGGCCATCACCTCTTGAAGAAACCTCCCTCTACACACTCAAATAATCTGTGTTCTCCATCCCCCACACCTACATTTTTGTTTCTGGCCTCCTCTGCACTTCTCAAAAACAAACGATGCAGCAGATAAAGCGGAAGGGCAGTCTTTATGAAGATGGGCTGGGGTCCTAGTTGATCACAAGCTCAGTAGAAACCAACAGTATGTGGTGGCCCAGAAAGCTACTAGAAGGCCCCATGGATCTTAGTGTAAGGGAGGGGAAATTGACATGCACTTTGTCCTGCTCAGACCACAAAGATTTGAGCCTAGTTCTGATTGGTATTTTCAGAAGGGAAAGAGACTACATAGGATTTGTTTGTGGAGAACTGAGTGGACCAGGTCACATGGAGAACTATTGAAGAAAGTAGTTTTTAACTTGGAGAAGAACCAGCCCAGAGGGCACAACTTCTGTTTTTAAATATGAAGGAGGCAAAATACATGAATGAGAGAATTGGCTCTTTAGTTCTGTTAGATTTATATCTCAGCTCAAACATTTCTTAGCTGTGTGACCCTGGGCAAGTAGCTTATCCTCTCTGAGCTTCCTCATCTAGTAAGTGCAGATAATAGAACCCCAACTTCATATGGTTGCTGAGGGGATGAAACATCACACATCTCAGTGTTTAGCACCTGGTCATCATAAAGTGATAATTTGTTAATGGGCTACATGAGTGAATGCACACCATGGGTAAGAACTTCTGATCTAGGCCAGCCCCTTCTCCATTTCAAATGGGGAGACCAAGAACTAGAGAGATGTTTGCCCAGGGTCACACTCACAGAGCAGTGAGAAGGCTGAATGGGCAATGAAAGGGTCTGTATCGAGGATTTCACCAGTGGCAGAGAAACTGGACCTGGTCACTGTTAATGTCCCTTTCAACCCTGAAATTCTGGGGTCCTATAGGCCTGCACAAGCCCCTTCCATCGCTGATGGAAGTGTGAGGCCTGCATGGTCATCAAGCACCACCTACTGGTCAAATGTAGATTTGCAGATACAGATTCCATACCCTTCACAAACCAAGGCAGGAGACTCGGAGGCTGTTACAACAGTCCAAGGGCAAAGTAGGCCTTATAGAAAGTCTCCTGGAGCCTGGAGAGGAGCCTCTCTTCTCCCGCCAAGCTCAGTATTCTAGGCCCCTCTGCCCCCAGGACCGGGACTTCATCATGACCTTCAACACATCCTTGCACCGCTCCTGGTGGATGGAGAACGGGCCAGGCTGCCTGGTAACACCTGTCCTGAACTCCCGCCTGGCCCTGGAGGACCACCATGTCATCTCTGTAACTGGCTGCCTGCTTGACTATCCCTACATCGAAGCACTCAGTAGTGCCCTGCAGATCTTCCTGGCTGTGAGTTCTGTCCGCGGACCCCACACACTCCCAGAAGCGCAGTCCACCCTAATCCCTTTGTTTAGCCCTAGTTAAGAAGAGATGAATTTAGGACTTGCAGCCTGCCTGTGCTTCTCCCTGGCTTCGTTTCTGTATCTTGTACCTCCTTCCTTCATCCCTGCTGCAGCCCTCATTCAGGGATTAAGTGGGTTTAAAGAACGGGATGAGTCATCAGTGAGTTGATCCTGGGTTTAAATAGCCAAAGGATCTGCTGTGTGACCTTGGACAAGTCATTTGCCCTCTCCAAGCTTGTTTCCTTATTCACAAAAAGGAATGACTATATCAACCCATAGAACTGTGAGAATAAAATAAGAGTGGCTCCAAGATAGTACTAATTCCATTTCTAGAAGGGCTAGCCCTGCCGTAGGCATTTCACACACACAGTCACATAATCCTCTTTCCTCTTAACAAGCCAGTAAGGTATGGCTCAGGTCCAAGCTCAGAAAGTGAAGCTCAAAGAGGTAAAATAATTGCTTGTCCAAACTCACGTTCCCAGAACGGAGAATTTGGAACCAGGTACGTTTGACTTTAAGGCCCAGTCATGTAACTTGAAATTGTAATGGGTTGGCCTTTATTTTAGCGTAACCTGCCCCTCTAGTTGGGGTGGTCAGGGCCCTGCAGGGGGTGGAGGAAGAGCTGCTTTCTCTTCCTTCCCTTCCTCTCCCAGCTGTTCGGCTTCGTGTTCGCCTGCTACGTGAGCAAAGTGTTTCTGGAGGAGGAGGACAGCTGTGAGTGCAGAGCCCCTGGGGAAGGGGGAGGGTTGTCGTGGGCCAGCCTACTACTTCAGCACCCTGGACAGGGCTCTGAGCCGGCAGTGGTGGAAGTGCCAAGGGACCCCTAGTGGAGGGAGGAAGAGGCAGCAGGGGTGGGTGGAAGTCTGCATAACAGCCCATTTGGGGCTAAGGCCCCCATGTCCAGGCCCTAGCATGGCACCCCGCACTTGCCCCTCTTAGACCTTGTCCCTCGGAGGGGCTCCACGAGGCTGGCCCCAACCAGGCACCACCCATTCCTAGTCGGTGCCTTCCATCCCGCCCACCTTCCCACCCCCACAAGATCTTGCCCTCTTAAGTGGCTCGAGCCCTGCACCCTAGAGCTTTCTCCTAAAGGACCTGCTCCCCAGGCTCTCTATCCTCTTAGGGGCTTGGCCCACTGCAGGCGAGCACCTCCGTGTCCCGGGTCCTATAGGTCCTCCATCCCTCAGGATCCACAGCAAAGTCCCGCCCCTAAAGCCCTGTACGGGGTCTGATCTTCAGATTCTTCCCGGTTGGGACCCAGCCTCCCATAACTCGCTCCCCAGAGGTCCATCCCTAACCATGTGCCACCTCCTTTCCTCAGTTGACTTCATCGGTGGCTTTGACTCCTACGGATACCAGGCTCCCCAGAAGACATCGCATTTACAATTGCAGCCTCTATACACGTGGGTCTGGTGCTGAGCATGGTGGAGTTGGGTGGAGGAACGGGGGTGTTACTGTAGGTTAAAGAAGGGGAGGGAGGAGTGGGGAGAGCAGCGGGTTCTCTCCGCCCCCAGACTTGCCTAACCTGCCTTTGTTTCCTACAGGTCGGGGTAGCTTCTGCCCCGCGCCCACCCTGGCGCCCAGTGCTTGGTGGCTAGACTGACAGCCGCCGCAGCGAGCTCGGGCCAAGATGGCAGGTGCACACCGGGCAGCTCGCGGACGCCTGCAGCCTGCGCCGCTCGGTCGGCCTGCCGGAAACTTGGACTCACTTGGCCCTTCACAGCACGGACTTCAGGGGTGGGGCGCGGCCGGGTGGGGGAGGGGATCGCGGGGTTTGTATTTTTTTTATCTCCGCCTTGGCGTGTGCTGGGGCCTCCTTCCCTTCTCCCTTTACCTCTTCAGCCAACATCCAGTCCCCTGTACAAGAGAAATGGCAGGATGGACAGACACCCCATCTCACCACACTCACTGACCAGCTCTGGGAAGATTATCCTGAACTTGGAGCAGGAGTCTGGGGTTCTAATCACTGACTGTGTGACATCTGGCAAGGTCCTTGCCTTTTCTGGGCCTCAGTTTCCCTCAAATAATTAAAATAATTCCTCACAGATGGAGCTCTTTCTAGCTTTCTCATTTGACTCAATTCCCTGGGCTAGGCTGGGGATATAATTGCCATTTTGCAGATATGGAAACTGAGGCCCAGAGATGTGAAGCTATTTGCTTGAGGCCACACAGCTATACTTTTGGTGGAGGCCTTGAACACAGTATACTTTCTGTAGTTTCAGACTAAAAAACCCAGTGTCTGGTCTCTGAATTCCATCCAATCCCCTTCCAGCCTGGATGCCCTAGAACCCTCGGGATGTACACCACACTCACACACCACTGCCACCACCTGCCAGCACCTCTCTTAAAGCAATATACCAGTTCTCTTGTCGGGAACCGGATGGATGGAGCACTGAGCCCTGAATTCAGCCTGACCCACAGGAAGTCTTCCTTGATTCGGCCTCTGTTCACCCTTGCCAAACTCTCTCCAATAAAGGGGGCTACAACTCATTCACCTGCCTCCTTCTAGGTCCCTAAGGCTGCACCCATGATTCCCTACCCCTCAGCAACTCCACCAACCCCTAGTGGCTCCATCCACCTCACCAGTTAGAAGACCTATGCCTCCAGAATGGAAGAGGGCTCGTCAGTGCTGCCCAGTCACCAGTGTTGACAGATCACCAGCATTTATGACCACAACGTCTAGAAGCAACCTCTAACAAGCCCAGAAGGAGTTCTGAAGAGGCGAATGGGTCATGGTTGGGGGTCGGGAGACCAGCACCCTTCCTTGAGAGCAAGCAGAGATGAAAGCTCATTCTCCCCACCTTCCTCTACAGACACCCCTGAGCACCATGTGTCCTGTGCACTGGCTGGTGAGTCCAAGAGCAGAAGGATCAGGCTTCAGCTTCCCAGTCTGGGAAATAGGAGTGGGGATTAGAAAGGAGGGTGGGAGGCACAGAGAAGCTGTAGGGAAACAGTTTACACACCTGAGCTGGTCTGTGGTGAGCACTCCATTCCAGGCTGTCCACCTTGCAGTAACATTCCCTACTGTCTAAGGCCAAAATAGGCCAAGCTAGGGCCCCACCTCACTATCTTATCTGCAGTGCTGTGCTAAGGAGCCAGCCCGAGGAATTCCTCTGGTCCCAGATGGTCAGCCCATGTTTTTATGGGTATACCTCAAGAAGGGGGCGGTTCCCTTTGGGCCTGGCTGCTACCCTGTTACTGGGCCAACTCCTGCCTCCACCCCCTTTCTCTACTCATAGCCCCAAGCCCCCTTTGTACTCAACAGATTTAGACACTGGTGCTTTGAAGCCTTTTGTTTTTATAAGACAGTTTTTGCAAGGGGCCAAGTTCTCTTCTCACTGAGACCTTACAAGGCAGGGAGTGTTCCCCTGGTTTCTGTGCAGGTGGGCTGATTAAAGATGGTGTTTTCTTCTCTATCTTCCTGTTCTGCCCTGTGAATCTGTAGGGTCCCTGCATGAGAGTGGGCAGGGGCTGGGAGTCGCTGTGCTTGTCATTCTCATGCCTGGGGCGTTGGGCTGCGCCTCTGACTGGCTGTGTAGCTTTGCGTAAGTCACCCTGCCTCTCTTTCCTCACCCATAAAATGCAGAGGTGAGACTAAATGAGTGGGTTCCCGAACCTTGCTTCACAGTCCCTTGGAGAAACTCTCTATTTATTTCTCTGATTTTAAGTTTATGCTTCCAAATATCCTTTGGATCTTGGCCCTGCCCTCTTCCTGACAATTCAGTTCCTGACTTGGAATGAGCTGGCAGACGGTTGCTTTAGACAGACTCCTGGGACCTCCTGAATCCTTTCTGGTGTTACAGGCAGAATCAGTTTTTTGAATTTTTTAAAATTGCATTTGCTTGCGTGAACAGGTAATATGTGAATATGGTGCAGAATTCGGAAAGCCCTAGAGGGTTGTGTCCTCTTACTTGTTTTTCATATCTTTTCAAAGATAATCAATTCTTTTTTTAAGTTATGTCAATATTTTTCTCCTTTTCACAAAAATGGCAACATATTCCTGCTTCTCCCACCTCATTTTGAATCCTGGAAGTCTTCCTCCAGTAATACATGCAATACATAATGGAGTTGTGGAGTTGCCCCCCTTCCCCCAGTTCTTCCACAGTGATTTGGTAGAATTAGACTTTTAAGATGCCTAGGCTATCCTGATGTGGCTAGGGGCCAAAAGCCAGAGGCTCAACATAAGGAAATTCCAGTTTCATTATGCAAACCTCTGTGGACCACTCCTGGCCATGGAGTCCAGAGGAAATAAATCACAGGCACCATCTTCAAGGAGTTTATAGTCTAGTTGGAAGCCCACAAGATGGGCAGGCAGAAGTGTGGATGCTAAAACATATGATCGATGCTGAGGACAGTGTAGAGTGAAAGACAGTTGTTAGTAAGAGCCCAGGAGGGAGAAAGGTGATCTTAGTATCCAGACAAGGGACCACAGCATGAGCAAAGGTGCGGAGGGAGGAAAACATGGGGTAAGAATAGCAGAGACTAACTGGTTGGAGGAAACTTCAGTGGGGGATGTACTAGTTTCCTATTGCTGTCATAGATTATCGCAATGTTAGTGTCTTAGAACCACACAACCTGATGATCTTTCAGTTCTGTAGAACATGGACATGGGTCTCAGTGTAAAATCTGGATGTCTGGAGGGTTGCAGTTCTTTCTGGAGACTCCAGGGGAGGTCCATTTCCTTGTTTTTTCTAGTTTTTAGAGTCTCCTGCATTTCCTGGCTCATGGCCCCCTCCTCCCTCTTCAAAGCCAGCAATGTGGCATCTCCCTGAGACTTCTATCACCTCTAACCACAGCTAGGAAAGGTTCTCCACTTTTAAGGACTCCTGTCATTAGGTTAGACCCACTCAGATAATCCAGGATAATCTCTCCATCTCAAAGGCCTTAACTTAATCACATCAAAAATTCCTTTTACTGTGTAATATATTCACATGTTCCAGGGATTGGAATGTGGACACCCTTCAGGGCTATTATCCTGCTTTCTGCTTGGAAGGAGTTATATCCTGGTTATAGCAGCCCTGAATGTCAAACCACAATGCATCAGCCTGATGTGATGGCCATGGAACTATTGAAGGATTTAGAGCAGAAGCAACTCAGAGCTGTTCTTTAGAGAGAGCTGCCAGGGCTGGAAGGGTGGGTTGGAGGAGAGCAGGAAGCAGTGGTTCTCTGCTGCAAGAGGCTTAGGGTTTCTCACTTCTCTGGTGAATGTGTGTTTTGTGGGGTATGTGTGTGGCTGTGAGCTATTAAGTGTGTAAACTTGGGAGGGCAGGTAATAATCAGCATGAACTGCAGGAGTCAGGCATACCACGGTTAAAATTCATCACTTTGGAACCAGTCAAGCTGGTTTTTGCACAAAGCCTAGTAAAGCTCCCCCAGCTTCTGTCATCCCAGGGCCATCTCCCAGCAACCTCTGCACATTAGAATAATCCAGGTAGGCAAAGGCTGTGATCAATTCTTGAATTTAAACATTGACATCACTTCACCACCTGACTAGTTTGGGCAAAAGCAGGACCAAACTCTGCCTTACCCTCTCTCAGCCTGTCACCTGGAGGGGTGAGGGCAGTTGCAAGTCACCTGACTGCCACTGGAGCTGGGGGCCACACCCTGCCCTCAGCTGGTGACTAAGTGGGTGCCCTTACAGTATGCCCTGGAGTCATATGACGAGAGGTGAAAAGTCCATTGAGTACTGGGCTGGGTATCCAATATATAAATTCTAGTTCTTTCTCTGCCCCCACCACCCTGGGACCTGGGGCAACTCCTCCCACCTCTGCCCTTGGTGACGCCATCAGTGAAATGAGAGCGCTGGACCTTGAATGATATTCATGCGCTTCTTTACCGCTGACATTCTGGGACAGGTCTTCCGAAGAGTAACTGTACTTGGTTAAAATGCTTTCTAAATACTCCACTTCCATATCAGGGTCTAATTCCTTAAGACCCAAGCATCTGAATTCATCCTTTAGATATTAGGGATTACAGGAATTAGGGATATAGCAGTAAACAAAACAAAGCAATCCCTGCTCTCATGGAGGAGATCTGCTTGGAAGAAACATAAGTAAACAAGTGAAATATATGTTATATTGGATATGTGACACAGAGCAGAACAGTGTAGGGAAGCGAGTGTGGAATAGGGATCAATTCCAGTTTTAAAGTGGATGTCAGGTCAGTTAGGGAAGGTCTCACTGAGAAAGACTTGATAGAAGACCTGAAAAAGGTCAGGTAGAAAACAGAGCAGCACGTGCAAAGGCCCTGGGGTGGGAGCATGCCTGAATGTTGGACGGAGGCCAGGAGGCCAGGATGGTTCAAAGTAAGGAAAGGGAGGACATGGTAGGAGATGAAGTCAGAGAGGTGGGGTAGGGGGCATGTCAGATACTATGTTGACCTTGAAGGACATCATAATGGCTTCAGCTTTAAATCTGAGTGAGATGGGAAACCACTAGAATAACAGCACAGAGAAGAAGAATCCCTTTGGACACTATGGAGACTAGACTGAAGGAGGTCAAGGGCTGAACCAGGGAGAACAGGTCAGATGCCATCAAGATAATCCAGGTGGCACATGCTGGTGGCTCAGCCAGGGTGGTAGCAGTAGAGGAGGAGAGAAATGACTGGATTCCAGTGTATTTTGAGGGTAGGGCCACCACGATCTGCTGGTGAATGGATGTAGGGTGTGAAGGAAAGAGAAGAGTCAAACAGGACCCCAAGGTTTTTGACCTGAGCAAGTAGAAGGAATGAGCTGCCTT